ACGGCCCGGGGCGCGGACCGCGGCCGCCGAGCGTGAAGGTGGTTTCCTAGGGTGTGCGGCCGGGATGCGGACGCCCCTCTCTCGCTCTGTGCGGACTCCGCACTTCCCCGGGTGCGCTCGCCCCCCGAGCCCTAGCTGCACCCCTTTTCCAGCGGGGCGGCGAAGAGTTCAGGAGGAAATCCAGCTGTCACGCACTGGCCGAGCAACAGTCTGCGGACCGCGGCCGCCGAGCGTGAAGGTGGTTTCCTAGGGTGTGCGGCCGGGATGCGGACGCCCCTCTCTCGCTCTGTGCGGACTCCGCACTTCCCCGGGTGCGCTCGCCCCCCGAGCCCTAGCTGCACCCCTTTTCCAGCGGGGCGGCGAAGAGTTCAGGAGGAAATCCAGCTGTCACGCACTGGCCGAGCAACAGTCTCCTCCGAGGACCTGTTGACTTAGGGACGGACGTATCGCCGCCGTGGTAGCCGGTGGCATATGACTCAAAGGGTCAAAAAAACTTTGTTACGGGATCCTGCCACGTCTGAACCTGGGTGTGCCAGGCCCAAATTCCTCTCCTGCCTAATTAGGCTTTTTCTGGAGCCTAAGAAGGGTGAAACTGACGCCTACCTTACTTAGACTTTTATTTCCTTCTCTCTCAAATGCATCAAAGAACTCTTTCTGGTTTTGGAGCCCCACCAACTTACCCATTTTATTAAGTTTTAGAACGTGTTAATATAACTTTGCTATAAGGTAAGCGACATAATGAAGATATTTAAGTCTTCTAGTAAAATCAGAAAGTGACTTTGAAAATTTCTGGTTGTAGGAAAATCTGTTGCTTCTTTTATTGTAGATTTTTTTCTTTGAGTTTGTGGCTAAAACACATTAGGTTTAAGGACACACCCTGCAATTAGATTTGTTTAAATTTAACTTTTACTATTAATATCTCAAGTCTAGCATACATGTTTAAACATTCTGAGCAGCTTATTTGAATCAACTATTTTTCTCTTCATATTGTTTAACCCATTATTTTTACATAGAAATTTCTCATATTAAATAGCAATTCCACACCCTAAGTATGTTTAGTTCTTGCTTTGCTAATTTTTAAACTATATTTTAAATTGGACATCTAACTTAAGACAACTTAGGCAATATATATTATGATTTTAAAAGAAGGTGCAATTAAAAGCTAATAGCAAAAAAACCACCACAGCATAGATGGTTATAATTATTCATTCAACCGGGACATTTCTGCTTTACTCAAAAGAGCCTCACCTACCCTCTTAGTATTGTCTCCATACAGAAAAACAAATCCCTAAACACTGTTTAAAAATTAGAACAGGTTCTGCAGTCTATACTTTGAATATTAATTTTCATTGGTTATTGGGCAGGTGCTGTCAGATTGTCTTTATTCTTGCACGGGAAAATTTAACATGTTTTTGTTAGCTGGAGTAACAAAGTGCGTCAATTTCTGTTTGTAAAGGAGACAGGTGCTTCCCTAGATTAAGATAGTGAGCCCTTAAAAGAATCAGAATTTCCTTTAGTCTTATAGATTCTTAGGCTTCCCTTCTTGCTCTTGAGCATCCAGTCAACACATCCTTCTGGTGAATAAACTGAAGCTGACAGGTATCCTAACTTCAGTTCACCCTGCAGGTTAGTGCTGGAGGTAGCATTATGATTCCAGCGACTGGAGTCCTGTGTCATTACATTTCACCACCCACATTCGCACTCACCAGATATTTATCTTTTTTTTCTGTCCTGTAGTTTGTAAGGCTTTTGTAATTAGAGAAGAGTCCATTGTTCTCTGTCCAGCTCTGTTTTACCTAAATTTCTGTGTGTCCAGGCAATGCTTGTTCCATGGAGATTCAGTGAGGCCTTCATGTTCCTTTTCTGCTCGTGGATCATATGCATATTGAAGACGCCACATGGATTGAAAGTTCTAGTCCTTTCCTGGTATTTCATAGCCACAGTTAATTTTTTGAGCCAATTCGAACAACATTATTTATTCTTCTGATCTTTCATTATATTGGCTTAAGATGTATTTTATAAGGCAGTGACCCAGTGTCTTCCATCCATTTGCAATACTCTAGATTTTTGGTTTTAGGCACTTATCTTTAACAGTAATATTTTAAAAACTACAGTTCTTGGTTAAAAAGAAAAAGAATTCTGTGTTTTAGCTCAGTACCCTCTAATGTGTGCATATAATACTGAAACAAGTTTCACAACATAATCCTTATCCTTACAACATCCTTTATTATTTTTGAAAATTGACCTTAACACACTAGATTCATTTTGTGACAAGAATATCAAAATGGTGCTATTGTATTGAACTTATACTTTTAAGGCTCATTTTTCTGCTGGTTGTCTCATACATGAACACACACAAGAAAAATTACTTTTTTTGTAAAATTCTATTTTAACCCTAATTAAGCATTTTATTGGGGGGCTTGAGGTTGTAGGGCCTTGATGTTAGCTTAAATCTCTCAAACAATAAGACTATGAAATGTCATGGTACATTATTGTGTTTTCAATGGGTTCTCAGTGTATTTGAGAAAAAAAACAAAATGTTTTTCTGAGGGGATTTTGATGGGAGTAATTATCAAGTGAAACTTGAGAAAGAAAAATAAGTTCAGTGTACTCTATTTTCATTCTAATTTTTATGGCTGAGTTCTGAGGTTTGGATGGGAGTCTAAAAAAATTATTAGTGAAAAAACATAGCCCAAATTATTGTTTCATTTCATTTCCTTCCTTCATTCCTCTCTCTCTTGTTCTCTCTCTCTCTCTCCCTCTTTCTTTCCTTTTCTTTCTTTCTCTCTCTTTTCTCCCTTCCCTTCTCTTCTCTTCCCCCACTTCCCTCTCTTTCCTTCTTTCCTTCCTTCCTTTGTTTTTGAGTTAAAGTCCCATTTATCACCTAACCTGGTCTCAAACTCTTGGGCTCCAGTGATCCTCTGACCTCAGGATTCTGCATATAGATGTGTCCCTGTATCCACCTACCTCTATAACTTTTGATGGTTCTTAAGACTCAGGTGAGGTCTTGCCTCTTTTAGGAAAGTATACCCAGTGCCTGTATCTACATGCACACCTGAGCTGGGCAAAGATCCTGTGCATATTTCTATCTTATGCTTTATACATGTGATGTAAATTATAAGCTAGTTTTGACCTATCTCTGTGTATATGTACATACTTGTGAGACACGACAAAGAATACAGTGGATTACTTCAGAAAGTGACAAGAATGTTGGGAGGCAACTCTGAGCTAAATCCCTGGCCCAAGAAGGATGGGATAAGTGTGCTAAAACAGGGGGGTATATTGAGGATGATTAATAGCAATGTGTCTTTTACTGTAATAAATTTAAAAAATTTATTCGTTGTGTATTTTAATCATACCATTAACATACACATATTTTAAATTACTTGCAAAGCATGTAGCAGTTCAAGCCTACTTATAGAGTAAAAAGAAAAGTTAGGGGTCAAGACAGGGAGAGGCATTGGGAAGTGACCAAAGCAACTGGAGAGTAGGAAGCATGTTCCACTGTACTCTAATTAATTTGGATTGCTGTTATTCACATATCATTTCTGTGTTATTTTGAGGGTCATTTGGTCCAATTTCAAGATCTGGATTTCATCATTTAGAAGTGAAAAGTTGACTTTGTGATTGAAATGTCTTGCAGCTTTTGATTATAAATATTTCTCAATTGAACATATTACTCATGATGAGGAGCCAAAAAGGGCAACTTTTACTTAAAGAAGATAACTGTGGTTACACTAAACCAAAAGCAAAAAACAGACAACAGCAACAACAACAGAAAAACCAGGGAAAAAGATTAGTTGATGTTGGCTGCCTTCCTTTCAAACCCCTGACTAGTCCTTCATGATACTCTCAGTTTTATTCATGAAATAAATTAAATCTGTCCTCTTTTTTTCCATTCCTTTCATTCCCATTATTTCTTGCCTGGTCCCTGTTTATCTGTCTGAATTCTTTCAGGATCCTTTCTGGTTGGTTCCTCACACTGCACTCAGAATGATAGTTTTCAAAATATTTGGACACAGTAACACCCACTTAAATTGCTTCATCACACTTGGGTTAAAGCAAACTCCTTACCATGGCCTAAAGGCTTGGTATGATTCAGCTGCTGTCAGGCACACACCACCTTGTCATTCCTCTGCTCCGGTCCTACCAGCCTTTTTTATTGCCATGTTTCTCTTGCCTCTAGATCCTTGTAAGTGTCATTCTCCCCACCTGTAATAGGCTTCCCCCGCCACTTTGGCCTATCCAGCTAATGTTCTTGCTTCAGTTTTCCACCGGAACTCCTTTTCTTTTATCACTATAACTGAAAGTTCTCCACAGTCTCTCCCCACACCCCCCAATCCCATGGAATAAAAAGACTAACCTAAAGAAATAAAGTCCTACTTAATATTTGGAAATATGAACCAGATAGCCCATATCTGAAAAAATGATTTTGGTTATTAATGTCTTTATATTTTTGTCAATTAATCATTCATATTTATTTCCATAATAAGGATTAATCTTTATTTATTTAGTACTGCATAGTTACCTTCCAGGCACTCTTTCAAGAAATTTACATGAGCTAACTCATTTAATTTTCAAAGTAACCTTGTGCAGTGCACACTGTTTTTTCCTCCCTATATTAGAGATAGGAAAATTGAGAAATTCAGTAATTTGTTTTCATCTACAAGGGTTAGTAAAAACTCTGAGCCAAGATTCAACTCCAAAGAAGTCTGATACCTGATCATGTATTTCTGTCCTGCTTCTATATACATAACATTATATAGGATTGTTAAAAGATTTACAAAAATAACAACAAAAGTTCAATCTTCCTTGCCCCTCCTATCCCACAACACAGTAATGCTGCCTAAAAGTAACTGCTTTTACTTCATTCAGATGTTTGTTCCTGTATTTACTTCTTGAAATAATATGCTTTTATTGCTATTTCTTAATTTATCAATATTTGGCATTGACTACTAACTTCCCATTATGCTAGATAAATTTTTAGCTCTGTTATGCATACACCTCTGCTCTCCTTTCTTCAACATCCCAATAGAACTCTCATATTTTGTTTACATTTCACTTACATATTTATTATAATTTGTGAATACTGTACAGTATAAAGCCAAGCAAGGATATTAAAGAGTATACTTTCTTTCTTGTATATTGATTGGTTGATTGATTGTTGCTTGACTGATTGATTTTGAGTTGGAGGCCAGTCTCGAACTCTTGGGCTCAAATAATCCTCTCACTTCAATTCAGTCCTCTGAGTAACTGGGACTATAATTATGTCTCATCAGGCTTAGGGTACAAAAATATTTTAATCCTAGAATTAATATTTAACTCATTTAAGAAAAGAAATTTGCATAACCTGTGCATGTATTAATTAGAGCACAATTTCTATATACTCTATCTCAGTTATATTTTCTACATTGTCTAACCTATCAGATTTGTTGGTCTGCTCCTGATGCTATCTACTGTCCTGTTTCAATTTAGATTGTGGTTCTCTAGGTGTCTTTCATAGCTTCTGTTTGGCATTTCCATTTGCTGATATCTTTGATGAACCCTCTATTCTTCACACACTATGACTTCTGTTATTTGCTCACTCCTAGTTTTCCTTGAAGAACAGTGAGTACTCCATTAGCTAATCTTTTCAACAGGCCAAGACGGTCCTTAGCACATGTCACAACCTGGCAACCTCACCAGTCTCCACATCCATTGATGTGCTGAGCGGCAAATTCTACCTC